TGTTGGGGTCAGGATACCAAAGAGAATAAGGTAAAAAGATAGAATCCTGGTGGTATGAAATGAGATCCTAGAAGGGCTACACTCACTGCAATGACCATAGTGTGAAATGGGTAAGGTAGGATAGAGGACAAAATCTGTAGAATTCAAGGAACTGAAAAGGCCAGAATATTGGTAGGATGATCGTGACCTTTTTGTATAAAAATTCCTAAGAATTAAGTCAGAGGTAGTATTGGAGTACAGAAGAGAGTGAATATAAGCCAAGAGCTAAATTGGTTGAGAAATGAGGAGTAATGTGGGAGGCAGTAGATGACAACATGAAGAGAGAAAACGGGTGACATAACTTTATGTCAAAAGATTGGAAATTGTTGGTTTTTAGGAACTGTTTCCTTTTAGGAAAAAGAAAGGCAAAATGATCTGAAAGTGGCAATGGAGAACAAAGATGACATCCACCCCATCTCAAGCCCACTAGAGTGAGGTTTATGAGAACAGAGAAAAACAACCACATAAGGAAGCAAAAGGGAAAGCAGTATTGAGAGAAAACCAGGTTTCCAATAAAGCAAGGTAAAAAGTTTTTGCCAGTAATGGAGCATGAATTCAAGAAGGCACAGTGGACCCGTTTCAGGAGCTTAGGTGGGATGGAAGGAGACAAAACAGGAACCACACAGGACCTTATGGCGATTAAACCACAGGAAATGAAGGATGACCTAGGAGTCTAGGCTGCCTGTGGTAAATGACATAAACCAAGATAAATGGCATAATATTAGATCCAGTGGATTAAAAGCAAATGGTGATGAAAAGGTTGAGGTGTAGAGGGGCATATGAGGGGGTAGTTTAGGTTCCTTTTTTATGCTACTAGTGACAATAAGATGACAACCTGGAGGAGGTATGGTACTTTTTCCATGTGAAGGACTTCTGGCAACCCCAGATGATAGGGATGGATTTATGTTTTTAAATCACAAGGGACTATCATCTGATATTACAGAACTTCCCAATTTCTTTTTACTAGTAGTATGACCCTACTCAAAACCCAAGAGAGGCTAAGTAATTAAAAGGTAAGAATCCCAACAAATGTTCACTTGACTAGTACCTCTAGTCCTAATTCTACAAACTTGAGTGGAATAAGGAACTGATGAAACAGACATCTTTCTGCCAAGAGACTCACTGAACAAGGTAGAGTAGGTTGGGCTCTCACAAAATCTTGCTGCTAAAGGTTAAAAGCTGCAGAAGCTACAGATTCACTAATAAAGATGCAGCTGGGTGAGTGCCACCTAGTGGACAGAAAATAATAACAGGGAAAAAACAAAAAAACCCTACCATTCTCTTTGGGAAAGGGGCTCCTGCTGAAGCCTGAAGCAAGATAATTATGTCGGGGCAGCAGACAAGTAAACCTGTCCGTTGTGGCTAACAGTTTTGACTTCTGGAACAATAGAACTGGAGCCACACAGTCAAATGCGAACTGGAATACTGTTATTTTTTAATAAAATTCTCAGCTCTTAGTGAAGATCTTACTTTTAGCCAGAGATTTTTCTAAATTACTGCCATTAAATATTTGGAGAACTGTTCTGATGCTCACACTTCCCATAATGCATCTCTAACAAGTCTAGTGTTCTGTATTGTTTTTGGAAGGAAGGAATAAACCTAAAAATAAAAGTCACTGTACGTAGGACATGAGTTATCCACCTTGCTATGATTCAAGAGGTGATAGTATAATGATCACTTAACAAAAGAGAATAAGAGAAGAAATGCAAAATGGAAACTGGTTTATCTTGTACATACAAATAATGAACTCCCTAAGGCTACTATATCAATGAAAATGATCCCTTGGAGAAGATGGAAAAAAAAATTTAACTACTGGACATATTTCCAAGAAATTCAAAAAGAGCTGACAAAAAGTCCATGATAAAAGACTCTTTGCTGATCACTATAATAAGGAAAGTGAGAATGTGAAAAAGGACTAGAAGTTTTATGGCATTGTCTATCAAATGTAAATTCAAAATATTCCCTGGCAGGGAATAAGTTAACCGAGTAAGTAAATTCCTCATTTATAGGAAATAAAGCCTTCAGAAACACAACAACACTCATCTTTAAAAGAAAAATAATGGGTAAAAGAATCTGGAGGATAAAATTTTAGGACCAATACCTGTCCCTTAGCTCTTCTCTTGTAAAAAGGCACACATATTCTTGAACCTTAATAAAGCAGTAACTGGAGACTTCACTACAGAAGGCAGATGTGCGGAGTCAGGCATGTGCTTTCTTCAATGCCCATTCTTGGAGGGGTCAGTAGGTATACTGAACATTTTAGATATCAATAAAACATAAGGGGGATACAGGCATATTTAACAAATAGTAGAGTTGTGTTTATCAAGCAAGAGAGGAAATAATGCAATATTGTGAAAACCTAGTGTTCAAATAACTTCTTCATCAACACTGGCAACCACTGCGCTGAAATCAGCTAAGCAGTGCTTCTACTAGATAAACATGTCTTAACAAAAAAACAAAACAAAACAAAGAGATAAACATGTATTATTTCTTCAACTGGATTAGATTTGCTTGAGTTGAATATAGTCAGAACATGCCTTTTCCTTTATAACCCTAAATATCTAGTATCTCACTTACTTTCCCTATCTATTATTGTTCCCTTTTTTCTACTCAGTCACTGCCAATTCAAGGACATTTGTGTCTGAATGAATGAAGTGGTTCCTGAAGGCAGCATATCCCCTTCTTGCAGCTTTTGTCTGAATCTAAGCTTTCAGGGGCTTTTGGGGCAAGTATGTACACTTCTGGGACTTTGGAGTCATTGTTTAGAGTTTGAACTCTGGGTCTGACACTTTTTATATAGTTTGGAAAAAGTAATTTAATCTGTGTTGCTACTTCATCTGGAGGATGAACTATTTACAAGGTTGATAATGAGTAGTTATCGATCATTTAATTATATCATCAATATTAAGACTAAGAATGAGAGACTTGGCAACTGACACTGGCTTCAGTATTCACACTACATTGGGTTAGTATTCAATTCAGTATGCAAGAATTACTGTTTAAAAGTAGTATGGATGAAAAGTCTTTTTCTGAAATATCAATATTAGAGATGTTTAAAGCACTGGAGGTAAAGTGCACTTGCTGTCATACTGATCTGTGTTTTCTAAGTGCTTACTTCTTAAGTTTTGAGACTTTGAAATTCCTTATCTGACAAAAACCTAAACCCTAAATAAGAAGCACAAAGACTTTTTACTAAAGTTTTCTTTCTTTTTTTTTTTTGGCCTTTTGTGAAGGGGCCACTTTGGTATTTTAAAAATACTACTATATCCCAATTCATAATGAGAATATAATACCCAAGAAGATCACTAAACTGTATAAAACCCAGCTAGAATTAATAGAAAATACAAATAGAATTAAAAAATGCAGGCCGGGCGCGGTGGCTCAAGCCTATAATCCCAGCACTTTGGGAGGCCGAGGCGGGTGGATCACGAGGTCAACAGATCGAGACCATCCTGGTCAACATGGTGAAACCCCATCTCTACTAAAAATACAAAACATTAGCTGGGCATGGTGGCGCATGCCTGTAATCCCAGCTGCTTGGGAGGCTGAAGCAGGAGAATTGCTTGAACCCAGGAGGCGGAGGTTGTGGTGAGCTGAGATCACACCATTGCACTCCAGCCTGGGTAACAAAAGCAAAACTCCATCTCAAAAAAATAAATAAACAAACAAACAAACAAATAAATAAATAAATGAGATGGGGGAAGGGAGAAAAGGGGCCCACTAGGTGTTCATTTGCAGTGGCACTAAGAGTGCAGAGCCCAGACTCAAGAAAGAAACTTATGCCAGAGGCCAATATAGGGATTCTGTGAACTTACAAATTAGAAAATCATTTAATTTTGACTTTGTCAACTAGTCTTTATTGATACACTAATACAGTATACGTGGTTACCATCACAGTATTTTAATTAAGAGAGTGGAAGTAATCCCTTAGGCTGGACTTTGGCATGGAAGGTGACAGTTTTCTTAGAGGAAAAGGCCATTTTGTCCTGAATGATAGGGCAACAAGACAGACCTGAGCATTATGGTCTTATACTCCTGGACACACACACACACACGCACTAGGGGCCATCAAGGCACCTCGCAATCTGTTAGACTCCTTATTAGAACAAAGTGCAGCCTATTTCCATCACTTAAGGAAAAAAATAAGAATCACCTTTAAAAATACTAATTGACTAGGGAGGGGCAGGGAAAATAAATGCTCCAAAGTTGCACTTAATTTTCATCACTAAGGTCGTAATAAACCTCTAAACAAACAAAAATGCTGGAAGAAGATGAAAATACAAAATTATTGGGCTATAATGGTCATTATACATGACAAGATATTTGAAATACTATCTCTCTCAGGGAAATAACTAACAAGTACCCTATCACAAGGCAGCACAAAACCACAAGAATTAAAAGTGAAGAACGAAGAGGGCAAAGTAAATCAGCTCTTCTAAAATAAAAGGAAACATATGAAGGTTAAAAAAGAAAAGCAAGAATTTATATAGAAAAAAATGGACCAGAAGTCAAGATCCTGGTTCTGATCATAACCTTGGGAAAGCTACCTAACTGTTCGGAGTCTATATATGCTACAGAGCGGAGAGAATACACATCCTGCCTGTCTTATAAGGCTTCTTTGCATGTCAAATAGGGTAACACGTTAAGGCACTATAAAAATTGTAAAACAACACAAATGTAAGGTAACAGTATTATTACTTACATTGTCCCTCACCTTCTAAAGAGATAAGTATGTGGTAGTTTAACATGAAACAAAATTTCTTCCCTGTTAGTTAAGACCAAAGCTATTAGTCCTTTTGAAGTCCAAGGGAGAGAGAAAAAAAAAAAAAAGAAAACCTAGCAAAGACAAATCAACCCTCAATCTCTAGTCTCAGTTTTCTAATGAGAAATTCCTCTATATCTATTTCATCTTTTTCTCTAATATTCAAGAGACCAAACTAAAAGCTCTTTTGTATTCTTACCTTTGGAAGCTTCAGGAGCAAAGTGCCAGGAGGGAGAAGGCATCCAATATTGGAAAGAAACAGAAGGAAGAAAAGGAATCACATACGGTTCTTTGTTAATGTACACAGCCACTTGGCCACCCAAACTGTTAAAAGACTCTATTCAACCCTTATTAATTAAGTACTTAGGACTGGAAATTGCACCTTAAGGCAGTGCCAGAATCTGTTCAAGAGTATCATCAAAATGAGCCCAAATCAAGCTGTGTCACTTTAATCTCATATTCCTACAAGTTATACTGATACAAAATACCTACATACAATAGTTCTCTTTCCCAACCATGTAACTCCATAATATTTAATATAATAACATATTTTCTTTCTTTTGAATGGGAAAATCCATCTGTCTTCCATCCAACATACCCTTTCTACCCTCACCCAGGGAAGGAAAGGGAATAGGAAACCTAATGAAAAATTCTAAGCCCTATACTGGACCTTTGCATCAAAGAGGAAGGTACTCACTCTTGGTCTGGGCAGAGAACGTAAGGGTAAGTTTGGCGAAAAGTTCATTGTTCTCAAAGCGGTCCTCCTTCACCTTTGTCCAGAAGCAGTCCTGGGAGAGGTCCTCAGCCACAAACTGTGGATAAAGGCAGGGTGTTAAAAATTAGTAAACTGAGCCCTGTACTTTCCATCCTAAAAAACGAATGAGTCTGTATAATAGGTGGCTGGCTGATTATCAACAATGTCTCACTAGAATAAGACTAACCTGAGGCACAGAATAGTGTGGTGGGATTAGGAGAGGGATTAGTATTAGAGAATACTTCCAGTTTATTTGTTTATGGATCCATAAATCTAAGAATTAGATTCATGTATACTATGTATCTTCCTCCTAACTCCAAATCCTCTAGCTTCAGAAGCATTAGGCTTTATTTCACATCTTCTCTTGCTCTCCATCATATTTTCCCCACCAGTTTGGCTAACTGTGCCAAATTTGCTCATTTTATGAGCAAATAAATCCCTAAGCTCCTTTATATTAACTTACCTTCTAGAAGCAAAAGGCTAACTAACTCAGAATCACAGGCATCTCAAACACATCATGGGAACAATACTGTGCATGCAAATATGGGCTGAGTAATTTATATACTATGAAACTGGTGTAGAGTGGATTCATAAATCCATGACTTTTGGATCAGCACAATTATCAGTAGCTTGCAGACTGGTGAATGACTATTATCAAACTGTGTGTTACCATGGTATTGACAGCCTCAGAGAAAAGGCAGAAAACATGAAGTATAAGTTTAGTTAAGATTAAATTCAGAGTACAGGGTTCACAGAACTCTCCATGGTGATGTATGGCATATAGAAGATGCCTAATATCTGCTGAATAAACATAAGCATGAGTGAAACTTGAAGACAGAAAGATGTAAGCCATAAGGGAGGTGCAGCCCATCCATGCACAAAATACAAAGTAGAAAATTGGTAGTAAAATGGTTTCTTAAGATCAACTGGTGAGGCCAGACACAGCAGCTCATGCCTTTAATCCCAGTACTTTAGGAGGCTGAGGTGGGTGGCTCACAAGGTCAGGAGATTGAGACCATCCTGGCTAACATGGTTAAGCCCCATCTCTACTAAAAATAAAATAAATAAGTTATCTGGGTGTGGTAGCAAGCGCCTGTAGTACCAGCTACTCAGGAGGCTAAGGCAGGAGAATCACTTGAACCTGGGAGGCAGAGGCTGCAGTGAGCCGAGATCATGCCACTGTACTCCAATCTAGGCAACAAGAATGAGACTTCGTCTCAAAAATTAAAAAAAAAAAAAAAAAGATCTACTGGTGAAGAAATAGAGATTCTTACCTTGGACCAGTTTGGCCTCCGGAGCTGCACCTCTGGCTTATAAAGCTTTTTGGGGGTTAATCCAAATGGCAGAACTGGGGCTGCAGGAACTCCAAATCCAAATGGGGGAGGTGGAGGCATACCCATGCCAGGTGGAGGTGGAGGAATACCAGGGCCTCCAGGAAAAGGAGGAGGTGGAGGGATTCCAGGACCACCAGGAAGAGGGGGAGGAGGAGGTGGTATTCCTACTCCCCCAGGCAAGGGAGGAGGTGGTGGGGGGATTCCAGCACCACCAGGCAAAGGAGGCGGCGGTGGGGGGATTCCAGCACCACCAAGCAAAGGAGGAGGTGGAGGGATGCTAGCACCCCCAGGCAAAGGAGGGGGTGGAGGGATGCTAGCACCCCCAGGCAAAGGAGGGGGTGGTGGGGGGATTCCAGCACCACCAAGCAAAGGAGGAGGTGGAGGGATGCTAGCACCCCCAGGCAAAGGAGGAGGTGGAGGGATGCTAGCACCCCCAGGCAAAGGAGGAGGTGGAGGGATGCTAGCACCCCCAGGCAAAGGAGGAGGTGGAGGGATGCTAGCACCCCCAGGCAAAGGAGGGGGTGGAGGGATGCTAGCACCCCCAGGAAAAGAAGAGGGTGGAGAGATAGCAGTAACTCCAGGTAAAGAAGGGGGTGAGGGGATGCAAACACCCCCAGGCAAAGGAGGTGGTGGTGGAGGAGGAGGAGGAACTATGGTACTACCCCCAGGAGCAGGTGGTGGTGGAATAATAGTGCCAGAGTCACCAGGTAAAGGAGGGGCAGGGGGAACAGTAGCACTACTAGGAACAGAAGGAGCTATAGCAACAGCTGCCACAGAGAGGGAAGCCATTTCTTTCTTGGCATCTTCCAGTTCCTTTGTCAGCTTGGCAACCTACAAGTATAACATCAATGTGAGTACTTCTCACCCCACTTCAGGGACTACTGGGGCTAGAAGGAATCTAACAAATGACTTAATCCAAACTTCTCATTTTACAAATGGAGAAACTGAGGAGTCAGAGAGATCACATGATCACCTAAAGTCACACTGCTTAGCAGCAGAGACAAAACTAGAATTCAGGTCTTCATATTCTTAGTTCAGAATGCTTTGTATTAAAAAGACAATTTTAACATTTATGTTAAACTCTCCCTTGATTAGAAAATGTAAAGTCAAATAAATCGAATGCTTTAGTTATATAACTAATATATGTGCTACACAGATGATTATATGACCACCTAAGTAATCAAGTTAACAGATATCAAAGATCATTCAAGTATTTACTACTGCACAGGGAGTGTGTAAGGATAAATCTGTGCAGAGATGACTAAACTAACAGAAAATCAGCTAATTTGTAACAGTTTAGTTTTTATTCCTAATTTATTAGAAGATTTATCACCTTAATTTTTAATGTTTATCTGTATTTTCCAGATTTTCTGTCTTATGTATTACCCCCAACACAAACCAAAAACCAGTATATTATTTTTAAAATATGCACCATGTAACTAGATTGCCTATTAGTAGCTGATCCCTCCCTAGGAGTGAGATGATTGACTCCTATTCTAAGCCATGTGCATCTTGAGGTTACAGGTCACTCTGCCTTCCCTGCTCAGGCATTACCTCTCCTGTGAGCTGGGACACCTCTGCTTCTAGATCCTGTTTCTCTGTGGCAATCTGTTGCTTTTCAGAATCCAGTGCATCCTTTTCTCCCTGAAGATTTTGAAGCTTCTGCTCAAAGTCACTTTCCATCTTTTTCATTTCCACCTGTAGCTCATGTCGGGCTGTTAACTCTGAGTCCAGCTAGAGAAAAAAAACAAATCAGGCTCCCAGTAAGCTCTCCATCTCAGTAAGAAGAACGAGTACTATTACTCATAATTCCCCTCACCTCCTCTTTTGCCTGGGGGTGCTGGAATCTGCCCCCAACCCCCATCTCCTGTTTTGGGCCAAGAATTGATCTGTAGAGCTCACAAATTCAGGCTATGCTTGGGGAAAAAAAGCACCATGATTCTAACCTTAAAATCAAGATTAAAGGAGAAGGGAATCAGTTCATTTCCATAGATTCCCTATTTTTACAGTAAAAAGAAACAAAACAAAGATTTTAAAGGTATTTAACTAGGACAGCCATGGTAGTACAATCCCAATATTCTCTAGGATAAAAAAACCTATTAACCACAGTAAGAGTCCTTAACAATTGAAGAGAAAAAGAAAACTCAAAGACATTTTCCACTTCTACTGTTCAAAGGACCCCAGTTCCTAATGTTCTAGGGATAAGAGGCCTAAAATGCCAAGCAAATCTGAGAGTCCCATCACTATTATATGAGTATCATCTGTCTTTCTTTTCCTGCCTAATAGCCCAAGAACTGTAAACCCACCAGGAAAGCTCCTGATAATGACATCCATATCACTTTCTCCAATGACTAACCTATACTGGAATGGTTTCCCCTGGGAATTACACATCCGATGCTAAATGCTTCCAAAATACCACAGAAAAAAAGTGTCTCACAGGTCAGGAAAATAATAATCCTCAAAGCAAGATATACTCAAACACATGTTTTTGGTCTCATATGCACCTTCTTTTCCAGCTCTGCAGCTTTGGCTTCAGATTTCTCCACCTTTGTCTTATCAATCATTTGATCTGAAAAGAAGAGTCAGTAAGTAAAGCTCCCAATTCTCTTAGTCTATTTCTTTTATACCCAAGCCTTTTCAAAGAACAGTCTTTTATCTTTTTGATTATTTTTATTATCTTTCTTAATGTTCTGGACTAGACAAAGAAATGAAACTTTCAGTTAAGTTTAACATGTGATCTCTGGGTATGTGGTAAGGCTACCATGCTCGTGGCATGAAGAATGCCTATGAGTGACACTTTCGACTTTCTGAGACCAGCAGGAGTTCCTGCAAAAGGTGCTGGTGTGTTTTTGTTTTGTTTTGTTTTTTTGAGACAGAGTTTCGCTCTTGTTGCCCAGGCTGGAGTGCAATGGTGCAATCTTGGTTCACCGCAACCTCCACCTCCTGGGTTCAGGCAGTTCTCCTGCCTCAGCCTCCTGAGTAGCTGGGATTACAGGCACACGCCACCATGCCCAGCTAATTTTTTGTATTTTTTTTTGGAAAGACGGCATTTCACCAGGATGGTCTCGATCTCTTGACCTCATGATGCACCCGCCTTGGCCTCCCAAAGTGCTGGGCTTACAGGCGTGAGCCACCATGCCCGGCAACTGGTGTGTGTTTTATGTAGAAATAAACAAAAGACCTACAGATTCCTGGCAAAAATGCTGGTTATGATGTAAGAAATGACAAAAATAGAAATATCTGGGGACTGGAAAGGTATCTTCTCTGACATTTTCACTAAAAAAAGATGCAAAATAAAAGGAAGAAGCAAAACTTGGAGAAGCCAGATAGAAGAGTGTGCTTACCAATTAATCCCTCAATTTCTATCTGGAGGTGCCGGCACTTGAAGTCGGGATCAGCCCCATTCTTGTGTAGAACTATTTGGGAAATACATTCTTCAATCAACTTATAGTACTGAGGTCTACAAGAGAATAAAACGGGGTCATCAAAGGAAAATCAAAATATAATTTTCAGAAGTATTCAGGACCAAGAAAACTTAACTGCTTTGACAACTGAGAGACCAGGAAAAATTTTTGTAAAGATAACACAAGTATCACTGCCATGCTAAGAAAACTTCTTTTCCACATCAGCTACCTTATCTACTTCAGATAATCAAAACTTCCTGTCATCTGCCTCCTAGTGCCAATACTTTCCATCTAAGAATTTGGGTTTGATCCTTCCTGTGATGGATAGTGCTATTGCTAAATCTATACTTCCAGGAAACTATAAAGAATTTAAAATTGCCACCTCTCTTTGCTATCATCTTCATCCTATTTACCTACTTCCCTCCAAAAACAGACAGGCATTTCACCTTACATACTCTTGACCTCTTCCACTGGGATGCCTTTGAGTTAGATTAAAAAAATAAGGCAACTTTCTTTATATCTGTGACTGAAGAACCCTACTCCTGAGTCTTTGTCTTTACTTTTTCCCTTTACAGAACAATCTTTGAATTTAAGGAATTCACTCTCCCCTTTTAGGCTCAAATTCAAAACTTCCCATAAGCACACCAACTTACCTGGCCTCATAGTCATTTCGGACCAAGAGTAAGTGCTGCAGGATGGAAAGGAAGTGTGGCTCTGCCTTTGAATCCTTCACTGTGTTTAAGAGAATCTGGAAGACTTCACTAAAGTCAGTGAAAAAGGGGAATAAGCTAAGGAAAGCAAACATGTAGAAATTACGTTTGACAAGTGGCTTATTCAACTCTTGGAAAAACTAGGGAAAAGTAGCAAGACGCCACTTCCATTCTACTGGCTGTTCTTTCTGTAAACATCACTAGAAACTTTAAGCTTTCTAAAACGTCCTTTTGCCAAGGGACCAGTGAGTTGGGTAGTACTATACACACAGAGGATTTCTAGTAAGTACTTGGCTTGAAGATCAGGCAGTAGATAGAAACTAAGAGATAACTGCCTCAAAGTTACTTATTGAAAATATTAACAGGTTAACTAAATTACTCCTTCTGTCAGTCCAAACATCTCTAAAATTCAGTTCTACATCTTAGTAAGCTAAGCTATCATGTTCTAGGAAGTTTAGAATTATTTTGATGACTTCCATGCTCAACAACCCTCAGATCACCTTTACTGATTTCCCTGGTCTATAACAAGGTAAGTAAAGCCAGCAGCAATAAAAATACACATGTCTTATTTAATGAGAAGACACACAAGCCTAATGCTGTTTTGAGTCATCATCCCCCAAAACATTTCACACAGGGATCAGGGAACTAAATAAAATGAATGTCTCATTTGTCTTGAAACGAGTCGGTAAAAGGATATTCCATCTCTATGCGAATGTCATCCAGCCGTCCCTTCAGGTCATAGAAATCCTCTTCCCCTTGTTCATCAAACACAGTTAGTTGCACTTTCATATCATCATTTTCAATCTCTCGAAGGTCCTGTCAACAACAAAAGAAGTTAGGGCACCCAAAAGTATCCTATGTGGTTAGAAACCTAAGCTTTTCAACCTGGTTTTTAATTGAAAACCAGAGTTGTCCCAGGGATTGTTGAGCCATACAGCAGAAAGGAACCAGGCTAGACTTTCTAATGAAGTGTAATATCTTACCTGCAACACCTGATGTAGCCCCAAGCGCATCAGTTCACTTCTGATGTGAACTCGGAAGTCAAGTTCTTCAGCTGGTGTGATGAGAGCATTAATCAGCTGTAGGCATCCAACCTAAAATGTGAAAATTCAGCAGCTATGTCATTGCTAACTCCTGGATATCAATAATCCATTTTCTTTAATACATTCTTAGGTCCCCAAATACAACCTGAAAGATACAATACAAAAACTCTAAAAATGACTTTTCTACTACAGCAATGAAACCTGTTTTGAGTACAGATCTAGCAAGCCCAAAGCTCTAAATGATTCCAAGGATTTGACAGTATATGTTGTTGTAGGTCTCAGTTTTCCTAGATTACAAACAGATACCATGCCTTTTTCCATCTCATAATGAGAAAACAGTTCATTCTTTATCTTCTTGGAGAGAAGGTTAATCATTTTCCTTTCAGAACAGATTGTGAAATGTAAAATATATAGTTGGGAGCCACTCCATGTATTCTAGTAAAAGGTCAAATGAATTTAAGTCTGTACATCTTGAATTCTATTCTTGGGCCCAGTTTCTGGGGATATACATGCCTTCAGTGCAATAGAGGTCCCACTTTTTAATCCATCCAGCAGTGGCTGGAAACGTTCCACTTCATCCATCTCAGCTCTTTCTGTCATTGCCTCTAAAACCCTTTCATTCCTGTCCAGGAGAAAAGAAAGGGAGAGAACTTTCCAGGTATTCTGACGCAGACATGTATAATGAGTAGATTACACAGGGGCACAGACCAGTTAGGAAAAGGGACATTATCAGTGTTACAGATTTCTCACATTATTATTCTCACCACTCAGTTTCCAGAAACTGCTGAAAACTGAGGACCATCTCTTCAGAGAAGTGCATTCCCTAAAACTCATCTACCTAAGCTTCTATCCATAAATACTAATCAAGTCCCCTGTTCCATGAAGTATAAACTGATACAACTTTTGGAGGGGCATTTAACAGTACAATTTTGCATGCATGTAACATATAGTCTACTTCCAGAAATGTATCCAACATATATGAATAAATGTGAAAGAAGATATGCCAAGGACATTCATTGCAGTATCATTTGTAAAAATTATCACCTGGAACAGGTACAGAAATCTGCTTTAAAAAGTATCTGTAAGTCCAGCAACAGGGCAATTGTTAAATAAATTATAGGGCATACATACATGCATACAGAATACTAAACAGCCACTAAAGATAATAAGGTAGATCTGTAAGTACTGACATAGAAAAAAAAGTCCAAAATCTACTATTAAAAAGAAACAAGTTGAGAAGAATGATTTAACTTTTGTTAAACCAAATCCCTCTACAATAATAAAAATCTATCCTATATATGCAGTTGGTTTTATAGGCATAAGTGACATTCCTCAGCTCTTAAGATACTATCTCTTGGGGTGGCAGATGTCTAGAATCAAGGGGACGCACTATGTGTGTCTATGCCTAGAAAACGTTGAGACTATATTATCCCATTAACGGTCGTTCTCTCCACAGAATAGGATTTAGCAAAGGGATGAGCCAGTTATATTTTACTTTATATACTTCTATAATGTTTGAATTTTAAAAATAACATTGTGCCACTTCTGAATAAAAAAAAAAAAAGAACAGTAAAAAGAAACCCTCGTCCTAGACAATACAGCCATTAGGAGACATCTTGCTATATCTCTGATAAACAGTGGAACATTCAGGATAGCACCAATCACTTAGAAATTGTTCTTAAATGTTAAGATTCTTAGTGTTCAATCTGGGAAGAAATACAATCTTACCCAGTATTTATGACCAAGGGGACACCCAATCAACTCAATTGTCCTCTAAACTAAGAAAACGATAAAATTGAAAATGAAGAAGAAAAATGATTCCAGTCACATACATGTCCTCTGGTTGTGGTAGAATACAAAGAGCAGAGAGCAGCTTAGCTGCATCAATCATCATGTTGGGAACAGCAGGATCCATGGCTCTGACCAGCAGTAGGATTCCTTCTTCTGTCTCCAACATGGTCTTGATTCCAAACTAGTAGGGCCAAGAACAAAGAAAGGAGGATGAAAGATGATAGCATCTAACTGGGGACAAGTTTAGGGGTTGTTATGGGTTGAATGGTATCCTCTCAAATTCATATGCTGAAGCTCTAATCCCAGTACTTCAAAATGTAACCTCATCTGGAAAAATAGTCATTGCAAATATAATTAGTTAAGCTATAATGAAGTCATACTGGAGTAAAATGGGTCCGTAATCCAACATGGCCAGTGTCCTTATAAAAAGAGGAAATTTGGATATGGATACATACAGAGGGAGAACATCATGTGATCACACAGGCAGAGATCAGGATGATGCATCTACAAGACAAGGAGTGCCAAGGATTGCCAGCAAGCTACCAGAAACTAGAAGGGGTATGGAACACATGATCACCCACAGCCTTCAGAAGAACCAACCCTGCTGATACCTTAGATTTTGGAATTCTATCCTCTAGAATTGTGAGATAAGAAATTTCTGTTGTTTAAGACACCTAATTTTGTGGTACACTAGCAAACTAATACAGGGTAGAGTACTTTTCCCAATATAATTAGAGATGAACATACCAAAATAATTTTCTAGGATATGCAAAATAATTATATGTCTTCCAAGAATAAAAGTCTCTGACTTTTATGTTTCTTGTTAATTCTCTCCCTCCTAATCCAATGGAATAAGTTAATTATAATAAAATTAAACAGTGAGGAAGAGAGATTTGCACTTAGAGGCACATGATTGTGGGCTCCCTGGGTTGAATTACTAAACAGATAAAAAGAAGATTAGTCTAAAGTAGAAACAGTCTAGAAGAAAAAAGAAACAGCAAATAAAGTAAATCTTCCAAAAACAATTACTACAGGTCAGGAAATTCAAGAATTAGCAAAAGAAAGTAAAGAGAGAAAAACAAAATTGAACCTGTTTTCTGCAACAGAAGTTAGAACTGAGAAAAAAGGTCCATAGAAGCATGTCTGCGTGGTAATGAAAAACAGTTATGAAGCCAAACACGGTGGCTCATGCCTGTAATCCCAGAACTTTGGGAGGCCGAGGCAGGCAAATCACCTGAGGTTAAGAGTTCGAGACCAGCCTGGCCAACATGGTGAAACTCCATCTCTAATAAAAACAGAACATTAGCTAGGTGTGGTGGCATGTGCCTGTACAGGAGGTGGAGGTTGCAGTGAGCTGAGATTGCGCCACTGCACTCCAGCCTGGGCGACAGAGTGAGACTGTCTCAGAAAAAAAAAAAATATATATATATATATGATACTAAAACAGAAAGCCAGAAGTCTTGAACCTCATATTCTTAGTACCTATTTTGAGTTTGCCAATAGAAGAGAAAGAGCAGGAGTCCAGATGGGGTTTGGAATGAGAATGAAAAAAATCTCACCTTGTTGTTCATAAAAGCTTTCAAGCAGCGAATGATCTCATGCTTGTTCCGGCTATCATAACTCCTGTAAATAGAAGACATCATCAGTGAGGTCCCTTTATTCTCTACCACTTTCCCATTTTTAATCTTGCAAACAAGGTTCTTAGGAATAATAACCCCAACTAGTAGCTGGGTAAATTCTGGCACATGGCACTTTGCCCAGAAACACTGATGAAAATAGGTAACTAAAGAGGGATCCTCACCATCAAAGAAGTTTGGCTGATCCTCTTGTAATCCAGGAATTTAGTATTACATTAAAACCTTCCTTTTAACTCTCTCTAGGCTCCTAAGTGCTAAATTCTATCAGGATAACATCCCATCTATTGCTGCTTGCCTCGCTACTTCACAGGTTTCAACTCTGAGAAGGTATATACAGGTCTTGGCCTTGTATTATTTTGTTTCAGAAAGATTCCAGGAAGTATTTTGCTTCAGGCTGCCTTCAAGGTTGCCTAAGACAGTGCAAGGTATACCTAAAAATTATTCCAACCTTGAAGACTGCCACAATACTAGTCCCAAGTATAAGACTTCCAAATAGATATTACCCAGACCAGATTACAGGGCAGCACTAAATCAGATTTTATTTCCAGATTGAAAAAGAACCAGTGCTGGGAGACTAATAATATTATGTGGTACATATTAGTTATTCAACATGAAATTTAAGTTCCTCCTCCCTTTTCTGTATCTATAATCATCATTCATCCTCTAGTCACCACTATGATAAACCCTTTCTCAGCTAACAGTACATTCCCCTAGCCCAAAATTTTACATTTAACTGCTATTTTCCCCTTCAGAGCAAATAGCCAAGTCCCCTATGACCTTCCAAGTAGAAGTTGCAAAGACCTGGAAGTCCTTACCCAGCAGTCTCTTCTTTCTCATCATGAAGTCGTTTAAGAATGTCCAATAAGGAGGCCAAGCCTTCGGCACCAAATGTTTGCACCCAACTGTAAGGAACAGATAAAGACAATGCAATATCAAATCAACAAATACTTACTTGCCAAACAAAATTTATCCTGACAACTTTCTACTTCCAATTCAGACTATTCTCATATTTCACTGGCTCCTTTGATCTTCAGTCACCACCAATGAACTCCAACATTGGGCTCCTACTCCTGTTATCTCCTCAGAATCCTCACCTGACAGGGTTGTTGTTGAGAGAGACACGAAGGGACTCCAGGCAGCTGAGCAGAGGCATATCCCGCAAGCCTGACCTCAACTCCTGAATATACACCATCGCAGACTTAGAGCTTTCCTTCTGACTCATACCCTGGACAGAAGGCATAGATACAGATTAGTAACAGTGGACCCAGTCATAAATTAGGGATTAGTATTAGTCAATAGAGTTTACATTTTGTTTTTATTTTTGTTTTCGGTAGAGACAAGATCTCACTATGTTACCCAGCCTAGTTTCAAACTCATGGGCTCAAGCGATCTTCCTGCCTCAGCTTCCCAAAGTACTGAGATTACAGGAGTGAGCCACAACATCAGGCCAAGTTTATCAGGGCAGATACCCATCACACATACCACCAAAATATGTGAGACTTAAAACTGCCTATCTCATTCCCTATATTTACATACTTCATGAAGATTTAACCAGGCAAAAAGTGTGGAAGAATAGTAACTCAATAAGACAGTAAAAAGTTAATGGGTTTATATAGTGAAGTGAAACAGAATTGATGAAGACATAAAATGTTACATAAAACTGGCAAAACAAACAGGTCCAAGACAAGGGCACAGTCTCCCATGTCATGGATACCTGCCCCAGGACTTACAGCCTTGGAAGTATACAAGTACTGGGACACCATCTCCCTCTTGATGATGATGTCCTTCTCCCTCAAAGGTTGTTGTTTCTCCTCATTCAGATTCATATCCAGCTAGGAGAGGTCGAAAAAAGATAAAAAACAAAATTGTCTCAAATTCCTTATAAATTTTGTGTTTAACATTAGTATACTTAGTGAAGAGTTGAGCATATAAAATGCTTATTGAGTAAATAAATTCTTGATCCCTAGAAATTTAAGCTATTACAGCTGATAAAAATTCCTCAAGGATAAGTATAGTTAACATTTTAGTATAAATCTCTACAGATATTTTAATACATATTTTTTTCTCTAAGAAAAATGGTCTCAATATAAATGAAAAATTTCTTCTCTATCATTGGAAGAAAACCACAGATGTTTGTTGCATCAAGGATGGACCTCAAAAATCTCTTCAGACTGAAGCACTGGATGATTGACATAATCCAAACACCTGCAAAATCAACTGCACCAACTCTAGGGTCTACAAACCCATTATCCCTGGTTAACTCAGTCCCTGTACAAACTCCTTTCCCATGAAGAAAGAACTGGAAACTTTATGATACAGCAGAGGCCCCTTAACAGACATAATCTGATGTATGTTTGGGGAAAGGCTCTGCTTGATACTTCAACATGCATAACAACCATGTGTCCAAACCTAGTACCTTGGAGGGCACAAATTTAGCCCTAATAATTCCAGAATGTTATTTGAATTGAGGAAAATACGGGGTGAAGGGATCTATTCTGTTTCTTCTGCAAGTAGCAAAATTCATTTGAAGATTTTGGGACTTAATTCCTGGTGCTTTTTCCTTTTGAGTTGAAGTCTTGCTTTGTCACCCAGGCTGGAGTCCAATGGTGCAATCTCAGCTCACTGTAACATCCACCTCCCGGGTTCAAGTGATTCTCCTGCCTCAGTCTCACAAGTAGCTGGGATTACAGGTGCCTGCCACCACGCCCAGGTAATTTTTATATTTTTAGTAGACAGGGTTTCACCATGTTGGCCAGGCTGGTATTGAACTCCTGACCTCATGATCCACCCACCTCAGCCTCCCAAAGTGCTGGGATTATAGGTGTGAGCCACCACGCCTGGCCAGGTGCTTTTCCCTCTTGCAGATAAACTGAACATAGAAGTTACAAAAAGGTGGCCCTCAAGTTAAATCAAACCCAAAGACAAAATGTTTTACTTGGCTAGCTCAACATTTTAAATTTAGGGGACCTTACATAAAAATACAGATCTCTAGTAAAACAGTACCAAAGGATGCAACCATCAAATTTCATGTTGTGGGAAACTCTACAGGTCAAATGGTTTCTTCGGCAAGTTTTTTTTATATATATCAATAGTAAGGATAAAAAGAAAAAGTGGGCTGGGTGCAGTGACTCACGCCTGTAATCCCAGCACTTTGAGAGGCTGAGGCAGGTGGATCATGAAGTCAGGACTTCAAGACCAGCCTGGCCAACATGGTGAAATACATCTCTACTCAAAACCCAAAAATTAGCAGGGCGTGATGGTGTGCACCTGTAATCTCAGCTACTCAGGAGGCTGAGGCAGGAGAATTGCTTGAACCCGGGAGGCAGAGGTTGCTGTGAGCTGAGACCATACCACTGTACTCCATTTTGGGTGACAGAGCAAGACTCCATCTCAAAAAAAAAAGGAGGGAAAAAAGGAAGGGAAACTTATAGTTTAAATGAAAATTGAGAGTATCAGTACAGTGAACTATATTTGGAATTATAATTTGAACAACCCGGGTTTTCAAAAATGACCTGCCGGGCACAGTGGCTCTTGCCTATAATCCCAGCACTTTGGGAGATCAAGGAGGGCGGATCACAAGGTCAGGAGTTTGAGATCAGCCTGGCCAAGAGACCAGCTTGACCAATATGGTAAAACCCTGTCTCTACTAAAGACACAAATATAGCTGGGCATGGTGGTGGGCACCTGTAATCCCAGATACTCAGGAGGCTGCGGCAGGAGAATCGCTTGAACCCAGAAGGCAGAGGTTGCAGTGAGTCACTGCACTCCAGCCTGGGCAGCACAGCAAGACTCTGATTCAAAAAAAATGAAAAGACCTAACTGGGGAAATTCAAATAGAGACTAGGACATTTGATGTTATTCAAGATTTATTGTTTTTTTTTTTAATGACAGATTTTTAACTTCTTTTGAAAAATAGAAATATCTGGCACTACTAGGCAAGCATTCCCAACTGGAATGTCACCACCTACTAGAACTGAGTGTGGCTGGATTTTCTAACCAAAATACCAAAGCCTCTCTTCAATTTGCCACATTCCCTACTTATTTTGCCATCTTCTATCTAGCTTGCTTACCCCTTATTTATACTACCTGCCTGGCCAAAGAGACATCTAAACTTGCAATTCAAGGCCAAGAGATTATCTTGACAGATCATACTCTTTAGACTCTTAATGCACTTGGAATATTAAGAGACAAACTAAAAGATTCAGTGAAAAAAAATAACACTAGTACCAGCTGAGTGCTTACTATGTACCAGGCCCTGTGCTAAGGATTTTAAACCTAAGCTTTTAAGTAAGGTAGACCTGTAACTAGTCTCTAGTTGAATCTGAGATCACATATCCATGCAAAATACAGGTCTTATGAAATCTTGTATTCATCAAAACTTTCCAAGACTTACCACTAATGGAAACTCACTAAATGTCCTCCTTATTCAGTGTTCCTCACTGAGGACAGCAAAGTAAGTTACATGCACATATACTTCATTACTTAGCTCACTTCAGACACAATCTTTAAAGGTCTTCTAGCAATTCTATGTATTTTCTTTCCAGTTTCACCACTAAATCAGCAAATAATATTCCATCCTCAGTTTCTCCTTTATACAGAGTTTGTTGTGAATACTTCGATACTTTATCTGCTGTGGAGTAACTCAAAGGTGGTCTCCATATTACCATCTTTGGTACACAGGGTGAGATGGTCCACTATGTCTTTGTGGCTAAAGTGTTGCTGGGCAGAAGGACATTAACAACACAGTGATTGGACGTTTTCAAGCACAGATTCCAATCTTATGAACTGATACTTGTATATTTAGTCCCTAATTATGGGATGATAGGGTTAACATTTTAAAAGTTCCATGTTAAGCCTTGAATTCTTTGCAATAAAGGGCTAGCAAGGGGACTATGCACAAAAAAGAGCCAACCATGGCCATAAATGCACAGGAAGAAGCAACATTTTGGGAATGGAAAACTTACCAGCATCTGTTCAAAGAGAACCAGAACTTGTTCATCTGAAACATCTTGCAACGACTGTGCTGTAGGATCATCCCCATATGATGTAGAAGAATTTCTATGAGCAGAATTGGGCTTTTCCTTCTCCTTCTTAATTCTCATGCTGGTAAATCTTTCCAGCTGAGAAAGAGAAAAAAGCATTAGCAGTGATCCATTTTCACTTACAAAACAAACCACACAGCAAATTCTTCACCCATTTAACCTCTTACACATGCATGGTTCCTCTGGTTCATGAGCAGTTCAAGACTCTTCTGACATGAAAAGAAGAAACCAGTCTTCCTCCTATCTAACTTAGCATACTGACTCTGTATGCTCATCTATGTTCAAAGATAAGAGGACCAAAGTATTAAGTTTTCAAACCTCTTTAAAACAGAAGAAACATTGTTCTTGATCTCCCCTGCCACTTCTAAGCCTTGTAGCAGTACAGAACTGAAAGCCTCTCATGACAGACTTCTATCAATAAAATACCCTTTGTTTTCTTCTAGCTACCCAATAATAAATGTGGCTAGGACCCCAGAGGATGCTTCCCTTCAGGAAGTATTACCATAGATTTTAATAGATATAAGCCACACAGGATAAATTTATCCTTAAAATCAGGATCCATTCCTTTCTCTTTAATTTGTACACTCCACAGCACTTGTGTGATGTAGGCAGCAAAAGTTCAATATCAATTCTTCAAAATCCCCTTTTCATGACATCCAGTCAGCAAAGAATACAATGTACTTCAGGGGTATATATACCATCTCTCTGCCAAACAAATGCTAACAAACCATTCCTCAAATCTCAAATACTGATGCTCAAATCAAAGAGTCACCAATAAGCTACAGCTTATCGGCTCTCCCTGTTTGAAAATAACAGTAATTATCTGTAAGTATTATAGGGCTTCAAGTGATATGAGTGGCATTCAGACTGCAAGTCAGCTTGGAGTTTAAAGAGCATGCCTAACTTAGGAAGATAATGGATGTCCAGGGAAATGCATGCAATGGGCCAAACACAGAGTAAAGAGTTAGGAAAAAAGCCTTGAGATACTCTGAATAGAAGCCATATCACCATTATAAGTTACAGAAAGTCAAAGTTATGAAAACTAGTAAATATCATAGTGTAGGCAATGAGCTAGAACATGCACATGCCAAACAAAATGTCCTTACCTCATCTGCCATGAGCCGCTTCAGAGTCTAGGAACAGGAAAAAAGGAAGGAGAAGAAAGAAGAGAAATCAGTGAAGTACCAGGAAACCTCCCAAACACCACACAGGGTGGGGGAAAAAGGGAGAGAAGTTGAAAGGATCTAAGCTACTTTCCACAAGCTAATGATTTCTGCAGAAGGAGTCCTTAGCACATTCCCACAAGTAAGGAGCAAGAAGACTTTTAAGGTCACTAACATATGACTCTTAAGAAGGAAAAAAAAAGAAGATGCAGAACTGAACAGAATCTAAAGTTGATGCCCGACACACGTATAAGAAATGCTCCACGTCACAGTAAATAAGGCAATGTGAATTAAAAACACAGCAAGATACTAATTCACACTCCCAAGACTGGAAAAAGTTTTCATGTTCATTTAATCATACACCAACAGGAACTCCTGGTGGTACTGTAAAATGCCATGGCCACTTTGGAAAACAGTAAGGCATTATTCAGTAAAGTTAAATATGCACACATAGTACAATGCAACAAAAAATGTCTATGTATCTACCCTGCTGAATTGTGCACATATGTAGTGAAATGTGGATACCAAGAGTGTTCATAGTAACACGATAACATGTAAAACAGAGAACAATGCAAATGGCCATCAAGAGTAGAATGGGCTTTCTGATCTGCCAACTGGATGTATTGAAACCACCACCAAAACACAAATTTTCATAAAAATCTTTATGGGGGACCAGGCACGGTGGTGCACACCTATAATCCCAGCACTTTGGGAGGGCAAGGTGGGCGGATCACCTGAGGTCAGGAGTTCAAGACCAGCCTGGCCAACATGGCAAAACCCCATCTCTACAAAAAGTAAAAAAATTAGCCAGGCATGGTGGCAGGTGCCTCTAATCCCAGCTACTCAGGCTGAGGCAGGAGAATAGCTTGAACCTGGGAGGTGAAGGTTGCAGTGAGCTGAGATTGCACCACTGCACTCCAGTCTGGGCAACAAGAGTGAGACTCCATCTCAAAAAAAAAAAAAAAATCCTTACGGGGAAGGCCATCACTCTTGAGGTTGAACCCTCGGATACAGCAGTAAATGTAGAAGCCAAGATAAGGAAGGAATTCCTCTTGACCCGTAAAGACTGATCTTTGCTGGCAAGCAACTAGAAGGGGGATGTGCTATGACCAACTACAGCATTCAAAAGGAGTCCACTCTTCATCTTGTGTTGAGACTTTGTGGTGGGACTAAGAAAAAGTTTTACACTACTCCCAAGAAGAAAAAGCATGAGAAAGAAGGTAAAGATGGCTGTCCTGAAATACCCTAAGGCCAATGAGAATGGCAAAAGTAGTCACCTTCGTTGGGAGTGTCCTTCAGGTGGATGTTGTGCTACAGTGTTTATGGTCGGCCACTCTGACAGATATTATTGTGACAAAAGTTGTCTGACTTATTGCTTCAACAAACCAGAAGACAAATAATTGTGTATGAGTTAATGAATGATGTGAAATAAAAGAGTGGAGTGGACAAATAAAATGGTACATTAGTACAAGGAAAGCAATTTCGCAGAGAAAGTGAATGAACTTACAGCTATTCATAAACATAATATTGAATTGTTTAATTAATATTCAGTTTAAAAACATGTAGCACTATATTATTTGGGATGTAAAATTATAACATAAAGGGAATAATTACCATAAATGTTGAAATGGTGGTTGCTTGGGATGGGGGGGTTGTGACTGGGGAAGGGGACAAAGCAACTTTTGGGGTGTTTACAATATTCTGTATCTTGACATGAATCACACAACTGTCCAGTTTATAATTATTCTGTATGTTTTACATTCCCTTCTGTATACATATTATACTTTACCCCTCTCACTGCCCCCTCAAAAGAAGTCTAAATGAGCAAGTCTGGGAAAGTGGAAATTTTTCTTCATCCTGCTTAATTTTAAACAATATTTCTTTTTCATTAATGTCATTAGAAGAGTATAATAAATCTCTTTCTGTCTTTTTTTTTTTTAAGGTGGAGTCTCCCTGTGTTGCCCAGGCTGGTCTCAAACCCCTGGGCTGAAGTTATCTGCCCACCTCAGCCTCCTGAGTAGCTGGGATTTCAAGTGTATACCACCACACCCAGTTGGGAAATGCTTGTTGACTAACCTTCCCCAACTAATGAAAAACTAGTTCCATTTCTGCCTCAAAGCTATTTCTCCTCTTTTACGGACAAGAAAAATCGACAATATTATGTTCATGTTCCCCATATCACACAATTCCATTAAATCCAGTGTAAACTGTGAATCTAGACTTGGTCCATTTTCCACCAACCTGGTGCTTTTGAAATAAAACAAACTTTGACCTCCATGGTCCAGAAGAGGTTAAGCTTCTACTGGCTAAGGGATAATCACTCACCCCAAACCATGAGAATCTTGCCATGAGAAAGTGTCCATGGAATGTACAGTTATTTCATGTGTTCTGATTACTAGAAGCAAGGTGGAAGGATGATGAGGCAGAAAGCATCACCCAAAATGACCAACAACGCAGTTCCTTTTGTCACTACCCTAAGTCCCTTGGCATAAAGAAGGTGAAACAAGCACAAAAAGGATGAGTGCATACAAATTTGGTTTACCGTAGCCCAGGTTAAACTTATTTGCTCCCAGAGCAATTGCTTTCAAAATTTTGTCCCCCAAACTCAGAGTTCCCACAGAACCAAGCAACAAGCAAACAACTCTGGGATGAATGTAATGTAGATAATAGAACCTGGGTCTAAAGAATTCATGGCAGATGAATTGGTCACAGCTGCAACTTAAGTTAAAAAAAAAGGTGGTGGTGGGGTGGGGGAACCAGCAACCTGTTCTTTCTGCCTACAGACTCGATTCCTCTCTCTTCCATCCATGTCTACTAGTACTACCTAAGTTCACACCAGTATTGTCTCCTGTTTGATTTGTTCCAACAGCCTACTAACTGATCTTCCTGCCTTCAGTCCCATCTGCCCCATACCACATCCATTCTCCATACTATATCCAAAAGTAATCTTTCTGAAATGCCGAGCTGTCCATGTTATTTCCCCATTTAAAAGCCTTCAATAGCTCTCCACTGCCCTATGTTGAAATCCAAATTCTTGTGTATGACATATGACTCTCCCAGCTTTTCCCCACAGTCTCATCTCTCAGCAAACCCTCCACCTCAAACTCCATCTTCATCTCCAAATAGATGACACCCCTAGACTTGCCCTCAGCTGCTGCCGCCTCAGCCTCGATTGTGCTTTCAAGGCTAACTCCAACAGGCCCTGTAGAATGATCCCTCTTCTAAATGGTTATGCACCTTTCCTTGTGTTTCCACAGTAATAGGTACTTGCCTGTCTCACAGCACTAAAAATGGATTACAATTCTCTTTTGATGTCTGTTTCCTTACCCCTTTCCAGACTAAGTTACTTGATGGCAGAGCCTGAAACTTGGTCATTATATCTCTTATGAACAAATACTACATAATTTAGGGTTGCTACCCTAAAATGTCAATCCCTGGAGAAACCCTCCAAGTCTACCCCACCTCTTCATTATATTAATAAGAGACTGAAGCGCAGCCAGGTGAAGTAAATCACTGAGGTCACATAAAGGGATGAGATGGATATGAAACTCAGGCATCCAGACTCCAAAGCCACCAAATCTTTGCATTCCCCAAATTCTTCTGTCTTTTTCCTATTCAATGTCCACTAAGTCTTGCCTTTAGATAGAAAAGAAAGGAAGGGAAATTTAATTTTTATAAGAAGGAAGATGCCAGTTTCCCTTGCTTTCCTGGAGGATCATCAGAAACAGATTTTATCATTAAAAAAAAAAAAAAAATTATCCGCCAGACGCGGTGGTTCAAGCCTGTAATCCCAGTACTTTGGGAGGCCAAGGTGGGCAGATCATGAGGTCAGGAGTTCAAGACCAGCCTAACCAACATGGTGAAATCCCGTCTCTACTAAAAATACAAAAATTAGCCAGGCATGGTAGCTCACATCTGTAATCCTAGCTACTCAGGAGACTGAGGCAGAAGAATCGCTTCGACCCGGGAGGTGGAGGTTGCAGTGAGCCAAGATCATGTCTCGGCAACAAGAACAAAACTCCTTCTCAAAAAAAAAAAAAAAAAAAAAAATCCACGTTTTAGTGTTCAATTTAGGGAAGGACAGCACGTAATCCATGAAATGAAAAAAGCTGCATTTCCTCAGCTAGTCATCAGAGGGCAGCAACAACCAGCAAAGTGAATCACCATAGTCGGTACAGGTAAAACTCTTTTAGAATCCAATAGAACATTCAAACAGCAAGCTCAGTTATTAAAATAGAAACCTGCTGCTACAGTATAGTAAGAGTATATTGCTTAGTTAGTTAATACTATGTGTGTTCTTCTTACAGATTCTATGTATACTCTGTTGGCAAACAGTTTTGTTCAGTAGTCATTTTTAAATTGTATCATTAGTTATGTGTATTCTCTGAAATGTAGAGTAAATTCCTAGATCATGACAAGTAAAAAAAAAAAAACCTAAAAAATAGTTGAATCCAAGAAGATAAATGCTACTGGAGCTTTATTTATGCAATATGTCTCAGATGTCCAAGCTTTATAAAATTAAGTCTCTAATCATCCGGCCTACATCACTTTTATCAATCTCCTTGTTTGCTGTCACTTATCTTCTGCTCCCAAACCAAACCCTTACTGTCCTAGCCTGGCTGTGGTAAATATTTCACTTCCTGGCCCTTCTATTGAGTCCTCCACTAAACATTAGCACTTAAACCTTTAACTACAAATATAGATACTGAAGGAAGCATAAATACAGAATAAATTTAAAAAAAAAATCCAAATCTGGCTTATAAATCCAGATTAATAAGAACTTTCAGGTAAAAGATGTCAGACCTAACCAAAGCATCTAATTTCTGTCCTTGAAACCTCACTAAACTTACAGAAAAGGTGTTTAGAAAATAAGAAATGATGCAGCAAGGAGAGAGCCTACAAAGTTGGCAAGAACAAAAAAGCAACTGCAAATTTTGAAGACTGGGACTCTAGAAGAACTAGAGGCATTA